TTTTTTTGTCCAACATCAATATATTAATAATAACTCAGAGGATACACAGTTTGATTAACCAACGGGTTAAGACAATATAGACCAAACAGGGAGAGACCTTACACAGTGATATCTCCCTCTTCGATCAAATCGGCCTTAGGCATAGAATGATAAATAGTAGAAAAAGAATCTGTGTTGGGTAGAGCCCGAGCCACAGCCTCATCCTTCATAATACAGGTAAGCGCAATCCAGTTATTGTGATATACAATTTCCAGGCACTTTTTTATGGTAGGAGAGTGGCCATAGTTGAGCCCTGGAAGCTGTCATGACGAGACTGGCCGTGAAGAAGATTGTCCTCTTTCTGAATGATAATGCCCATCTTTAGTCTAGTTAATGAAAGATAATTAGCACTAACAATAAGAGAATGTTGACCGACTCCTTTATTTTCATTAACAGCTAGAGATTGGCTCTCCAATCAGACAGGGTTTTCCCTGAGATAAGCAGCCTTACCCAATTCAGAAAATTCCAACCAAGAAGATTTTGCAAGAAGAACCAGGTGGTGCTCAGAGATTGCAGCCTTTTGAAATATCTAAGAGTTTCGGGTTTTGCATAACCACCACAAAATGTAGGTGGATAAGAAAATCCTATGCTCCCAGTTTGAAGCCCTTTTCATCAAACACAATTCTTCCCACCAATATTGAAAATTTACAGGCTTTTCAGATAGACAATTTCACTGGAGCCCAACATGTTTCCAAATAATTTTAGCCTTATTACAGTAGAAAAAAATATGCTCCAAAGATTCCTCCTAATCACAACACATACACATATAGAACCCACACATATGCCCTTTGATTTTAAGGTGACTTTGTGGTTCAAAAATCCATACCAACACTTCCAGACAAAGTGTTTTGATTTGTTTTGAATTGGAAGCCTCCAAGTAGTGTTTCACATCTTTTTCATTCTAAGGGCTTTCCCATGTGTGGATGCAGTAAAAGTAGATCCAGCAGAGACAGAAGACTTATTTGCCAAAATGGTTTTGTAATTAAGCTTCTTTCACAGAAAATAAGCCTTTGAAGCTTTGATGCCATATCAGTTTGTCTTTTTGACCCCAGGTGCTAATAGGTATTTTGAGAATGCTCATAGCATCAGCAGGTCTGAAAGTCTGAGAGATAAGATCTGCATTTCACTGTGTACCACCTGCAGTCATAAGATCTGAAACGAAAGTCAAGCTTTCATTATCATAAGCAAAACAACATTGAGGATGGGTGAAGACAAAATAGTGTTAGGAATTGTAGGGGCTCATTTATTAAAATTGTAGGGGCTCATTTATTGTAGGAATTTTATGGACTATTTTGCAATTGTAAAAATATCAATTAATTGCAAATAAGGATTGGGGTTGATGTGGATTAATTGATTTTGAAGTTAATATTTCGTAATCCCGCCACATAAGCCAGAATCACACCATGTCATGTATAAAAAGTCACGTCACATTTTTATCCAAGGGATGGATAAAGAGGACAAAATTGACTAAATTGTCAAATTATTGAACCCGGTTTGAAAGTGGTCAATGACGGTGTGGGAAATTTGAATATGGCCAAATTATAGGACAAATTTTGAAATTTTGTTGTTATCATATCATAGTTTACTATGATGTATGACATAATGAGATTTTTTTATGCGCACCTAATGTTATACTATTAAATATGGGCTTTCGGACCTAGTGGGAGAATGTAAGAATATGTGGCCCGAAAGCATTAGACTCACAGTTAATTATCCTATTGAGCTAGGCCTTTATTTAATAATCAAACAATTCTAAGCCATTAATCTGGATATTTGATTGACGTACCATATCCAAAGTCATCTCTATATAAATTATCTATCTCTCCTCCAATTAGGGTATGCAGTATTTCCCATCAGTTTGTCTGCTACATTAAGGAACAGTTAGGAGAGGGAAACTAATTTAGATCTAAGAAAACTGATCAAGCCTTGTGTGATCATCAAAATCATTATTATGTTGTCCTTCGCATCAAGTAATTTTTCGCATAGACCAAATTATTTATTCAAGATCCCCAATTTATGTTTACAAGGGAAACTTAGTCTATCTCGCCAATTATATATATTTTTTGTAAATTATTATTAACTCAGAAATCAAGCATTAGATTGAAGAGAGCGAGAGGAAGATGAAGAACACAAGAGAGAAGAAAAATGAAGGCTGCAATTAAAATGAGAAGAATGAAAAAGTGTGAAGTGAATAGATTTCACCCGGCTCCTTCAACTCGAACGGCCTCCGCACCTGCAGAACCCAACGTCGGGGGTGGCCCCGGCGTCGGGCCTCCGATGCTTAAGTCAGTGTTCAGCTCAAGAGAGAGAAAGTGTAGTAATGTAATGAGGAGAGAATGAGTGAAAGAAATATCTTACCCCCCTTTTATAGGGGAAGTGTACCTTCTGGGCCCAAGTTGGGCTTGGCCCATATCTCGGTGCTATATGTCTTTAGTCCGCACGTAGACTTATTTTCTATAATGTATTCGCTTTATCCATTAGACCGAGTCCATTATAATATCCTATATCATCTAGTTCCCCAACTCTGGTCGAGTAAGCATAACTCGATCCAAGAGTGAAATGTCTCTTCGAGCCGCTTCCGTTAACCTACCACTGAGGTTATAATTTGAATAAGTCCTCGATCGCCGAACAATTATAAAACTTCCACATGAGCACCGGAGACCGTAAGGGCCCGAAAACCGAATGACCATCCACTGAGATAAATGATTGGAGGTCCTTCGACAGGGGTCGAGAAACCGAAAGCCAAGAGTCGAATGATAACTGAGGTCGAAAACTGAAGCCAAGAACCGAATAACCGTTGAGGTTGAAAATCAAGAGTCGAGACCGCTGAGGTCGAAAACGAAAAACTGAGAATCGAGAGATCGTTGAGGTTGACAACCGAGAGTCGAGAGACCGTGTAGCTCGAAAACCAAAAACTGAGAATCGAGAGACCGTTGAGGTCAAAAATCGAGAGTCGAGACCGCTGAGGTCAAAAACCGAGAGTCAAGACCGTAGAGGTCGAAAACCGAGAGTCGAGACCGTAGAGGTCGAAAACCGAGAGTCGAGACCGTAGAGGTCAAAAACCGAGAGTCGAGACCGTAGAGGTCGAAAATCGAGCGTCGAGACCGTGGAGGTCGAATATCGAGCGTCGAGACCGTGGAGGTTGAAAATCGAAAGTCGAGAGACCACGGATGTGGTCGAAAAACAAGAAATGCGATGCCGCTAAAAACGAGAACGAAAACCCGAAGGACTACTGATAATTGCCGATGAGGTCGAAAGACATAAACTGAATGACCACTCCCTGAAATCTTGAATTTGAAAATTTGAATTTACGTATGTTGTGTTTTGATCACCATGTTCGAGCTCTCTTATACCCCCTCGTCCTATCGCCCATCAGTTCAAAATTTAAAATTCAAGCCTGTTGTATATCCTCTCAAAACCAAAACAACCTGATTTCGTGGATTGCTCTGAATGAACTCCTCGACCTACCACCAAGGTCGAAAAATAGATTCGACAAGACCAAACCAAGCAAAACCCATCAACCTGCTTATGTTGTAATGAATCCCATCTGCCTGCCCTGCTCGAGCCATAATGAGTATACTCGACCGACAACTAAGGTCGAAAAATAAATTCGATGAACCAGATTCAACAAACAACCAAACCAGAATCCATAAACAACTTGCTCGACCAAAATGAATATACTCAACTCGCCAAGGAGGTCGAAATAAGCAGATTCAACAAACCAGATTCAATAAACAACCAAACCAAAATCCACAGACAACCTGCTCGAGCAAAATGAATATACTTGATCCGCCAAGGAGGTCGAAATAAGCAGATTCAACAAACCAGATTCAACAAACAACCAAACCAGAATCCACAGACAACCTGCTCTAGCAAAATGAATATACTTTACCCGCCAAAGAGGTCGAAATAAACAAATTCGACAAACCAGAATCATCAAACAACCAAACCAGAATCCATAAACAACCTGCTCGAGCAAAATGAATATACTCGACCCGCCAAGGAGGTCGAAATAAGCAGATTCAACAAATCAGAATCAGCAAACAGCCAAACCAGAATCCATAAACAACCTGCTCGAGCAAAATGAAT